CAGTTCATAATTAGAATAAAACAGCAGCAAATTGATTCGGTGATGGCATTCCCAACTGATCAAGGAGTTTTTTCGCGATTTCCAAGCACAAATCTTCAATCATTATCAATGTTTCATTGCAGATTTCTGCTGTAAAAGCCATGTTTATATTCGAATTTTCCTTTTGTATTCGACGGAAAATATCTTTAGCCATGTGCGATTTACATTCCTTCCATATATACCATACTCATTAACAGTAGCCAAGAAATACATCAAAACTCAGTAATTTGTTGCCAAAAGAAATCTCTGGAAGACACAAAATACAACATTCAATGGATTAAGGCAATGAGGAGAAATAAGCTACAGGGGATGGGGGTAGGGGGAAGTCACAAAGAAATTTCGGTGTTTTCGCACGTCTGTAGGATGAACCATGACAAGGCCAGTTAACCTTCATGATGACCGTGGTGGAGTTTACCAAAGCTCCTTCTCTATATATGAGTAAGGCATGTTTTTACCTGACACAGGTGTGACACATATGTATAATATAGGTATATAAGAACATGCGCGTATTGGAATGCAACGTTGTGTCAAAATTTCAAAGCATTTGGTAAAGAACTTTGGGAGATTTAAGACTTTAAACAAACGAATACCTACATTTTTATTTATATAAGTTTATATATATATCCAATATATTCATCATCATCATCAATATAGTATACTGATATACATAATATATACAACTGCTGATATGCTATAATATATACAACTATACTAATATACACTTACTAATATATAAAAAGCAAATGATTTCTGGAATGGATACTTGAAATTTCTCATCAGGAAATGTCATTTGACTATTGCGTAAATCATAACAAGCAAAAATTTGTTTGTCACTTTGCAGTTATTTTCGTATCGTGACGCTCGCTTTTCATGACAAAACTTATTACATAAAACTCACGAAAGTTGCTGGAGTTTGAAGCGTACCATCGTTAATTGCGAAATTATGATCGAAAAATGCTTGCTAATTTGTTCGCAAAAAGAAGTTTAAATTTACTTCAAAAAGGAAATTTAGTGGAAAAAACGTTGCAGCTTATGTGTCAATGAAGCTTGTTTGATTTAACATTTTCCATCAAAAAGCAAACTCATATATTCATCAGCAATCTAATGCAGTTTAAATTGACAGATAATTGCTACAGTAACACTATTATCATTATGGTGACATGCTACTAGTTTTTTTTTTTTTTTTTTTGGATATTTTGTGTTTAGGCATAGTTGAATATTGGTTAATGACAGTTTATTGATAGAGGAGAAGTATTATACGTTACAGAGAATTTCCACATAAGTTATTCCAGAGGTCATTCTACAATTGAGGAGTTTCTGCAATTCAATTGTATTTAATATTCTGTGGGAACTCTCTGTGACGTATAACACTTCTCCGTCTATCAGTTGTCATCAACCAATATTCGACCGTGCCTACACATAATATTTCCAAAACTTTCATGACGACAATGATTGCTGCAGCTGTTACTGTTATGGTAGTTTCCTGTCACCAACCATGATAGCTAAATTTTAGCAAAAATCACTATTTGAACTTAATGGTACATGAATAAAAGCTATTGCTTTGTCGCATAGATTACTGCAGGATTCGGATTTCACTATCCTTCTTTGAATATGATTATGATAATATTTTTAACCGTTTTGATATTGTATTTTAATATAGCTTAAGTAAATATGCTAATTAATAAAAGATGTGTTTTATCTAGTTGCGTAGAAAGATAACTACCTGATCATATACTAAAAGCTATTATACAAGGTGCAAAATTATGGTTTCATAAGATGAGAGATAAAAGAACAATTTACATAAGAGAGGAATAATTTGCAAATGTTTATTTTGTAAAGTTGATTTTTTTTTTTGCTTTTTTTTCTTTTCAATGAAGATTAAGGACGTTTTTTCCTTCCCTTTTTGTTAAACAGTTTAAAGACTAAAACATTGATTTTATAAGCTTCTTTTTCCAACAGTTTTTTTTTTTCTTCAACACTATTGATGCTTAAATCTGACGGCTAATTGGCTTGGAGGCTAAATCGTTGTTTACTTATTTTTTTAAAGAGTTTCATAATTTTCATTTTTTAATTTTTTGTTAGTCTAAGAGAAATATTCGACTTAAGTCATTTCAGAATTGAGAATTTCGGCTAATTCTTGACACAGCGACATCTACTGTTTTATTTTAATGAAATATGTTATGACGAGTCAATGTACATTGCTAGCATTTGTTTGTCAGAAACATTAAGCAAATTAACGTTAGGAAGATTCAAACTAACAACGCAGCTTTAGTGCCATGTTGCTCTGTCTGTTTGCTGCAACCTTTGCACTTTCAATGACGTAGCAATTCATCGATTTGTTTCAAGTATATAATTTTGATTTTTTGATTTATACTTATCCATGATATCAGGGGAATGTTCATAAATATAAAGAGGAACTCTATGGCATGATTCAGAGATTTTTCTAATCTAGAAATCCTAAAAAGTCATAGCTCGCTGAGCTTCAATTTTTGTAGACCCGGTTTTATTGTAGTTAGCGATTACAGTGCTTATTATCGTTTGTTATCTGTTTACAGAAGTGGAAAAAGGCGATGAAATGCATTATTTCATTTCAGCATGACAAAATTTGATTGATCGATTTGGTGCTTCATATTCGATTGGTCCGAAATTCACTTTCCACCGAGAGGTATTATTTTCCTTTTTGGCCGATACAGAATGTCCTCAACGCAGAAACATATCTGAAACGAATAACAGTATTAGTACGATCGAATTCTACTTTATTTAAACCTCACAAATTGGAGTATAAATATTGTTTGTGAAAGGTATGATCCGAATGGTCGACTGGTTGAAAACTATTCCGAATCGTTGACGATGCACATCAATATGAATTCATACCAAGTCATTTGGTTTTTTTACAGCATTTTCACTTCAAGTTTCCTTTTCATGAAAACTTGATATTGTGCTTCTTTTTGGATTTAAAAAATTATTAGGAACAGTTGAGTTCTGAATAAAGTCCTAACAAACTGGAACTGATAGAAGTGAAATACACTTCTGCTAATGAGCTTTCAATTCTAGTTGTGTAACTGTATGATGGCTTACATCTATCCATTACTTACAACCTTTTATCTGTTCTGTTATGGACTTTTGTATTTCAGCGCATTGATGTCACAGGATGAACCATCACAATATTTAACCTTAAATATATGAATGATTAAGGTTCTATTAGATTCATTTGGATCTCACTTTGTTTCGCCATTTTCTATTTTATAAAGATTTAATTTATGCTTGATTCAAAGTTGTTAGTAATAAAAATAATTAAATGATTTGAAATACACAATCGAGGTATATGATGTTCCATTAAGGAGCTTCTAATCTAATTCCTGGGAGGTAATGTACCTAATTATTTTAGTTGCTCTACAAAGTTGAAACTGATATTTCAGAAATAGATCAATGAATTCTTGGATTGAGATCCTAATGAATATGTTGTAATTAAATTCCGCATAGTGTTTTGTAGATCCCTTATCTTCATCTATAACAGGCACTGTATTTCGCCTTCTGTTTACTTGGGATTTAAAAAATTCTTAATTTTTTGCAACACATTTTGTTTGTAAATCAAAAAATCATGAACTTAGCGTGATAAGGAGACGTGAGGAAAGTGAGCGGTACATGAATGCTGTCGTAAAAAATAGACATTGGAACGATAAATCTGGTACGGAAGTTTTTTTCTTATATTCAGCACTTTACATTGTCCTTTGCCGTATGAACACATACCATTTTCCATAAATTCATCAACTTTACTCATCAATCCATGATCAAGCAAATTTTTTTAAAAATTTATGGTGTAACATACGAGGGACCCAAATTTAATGGAGAATTATTTCAGTGCTCGATGGACAGCATTGAAACAAACGATAACGATTTAGGAATTCTTTATAATTCAATCGCTTAGTCAAACTTTTATATGGTTATTTCTTCAAAACTACACTTTAATTCTGGACTTACAGCCAAGCAATATAGCCTTGCTTAATTACACTGCCGACAAAGCAGTTAATATGCATTCGTATACACCGAACGAGCCCTTTCATTTAGCGTTCATGACCATGAGGTTAATTCTCTTTTTATTTGCACAATTTTTCTTCTTGTTCCACTCTACCATTTACACGATAAATTTTAAACTGAATGAAGAGTTGACTTGTGGATTTGCCAAAAATTTAATTTCCTTCCTATTCTGTAGTATTTACATGCAAGTTGGCAAGACCCGTGGGTTATTTGTTGAAGGATCTCTATTCATCAGAAGGAAACCATTATATTGCGTAGCCAATCTCAATATTATACCAATAACTGTTTTAACACTGTTTTTTTTTTGAAATTTAATATTCGAAAGGATTAGGCCTTTTAAAATTGCGAATGTTTCAGTGGTGCGGTCACAGAAATGCCGAATATTTAAAAAAAGAAAAAAAATCATTCATGCCCTTTTCATTGATTCAATAGTTGGCTTCCAGCTATAACAGATGACGGAAGAAGGAAAAAAAAATGCTATTAATATCACTGCCCTATTGGCAATATACATATTAATATTAATGGTTTTCGATCAAATGCCAACTGTGCCTTTTATTGGTAATATTATTATAACATGACTGCTTTCATCTCCATACTTTTAAACAATGTCAGAATTGTAATATGCTATTAATCACCACTCAGTCAATATGGATTCCTTGTTTCTACTTTATTCTAACAGAATAACACAATTATAGCAAGAAACAAATTTCACGAACTATTTTGAGTGCACCATCCTAACAATCAGTTAATAAAATATATGTACTTTAGGATTTTTTAAATAAAGAGTGAACTTTAACCTACTTTTGTTGGAAATCCTCCTTAGTAATGTGACTATGTGATCATTTGAAAGTTAATTTAATTCGTTAGCCTATTTCCAGAACTTGGGGACATAATGCAGTCAACAACAAATTTTGCAATGGAAAAAGGATCTATAAAGTCCAATTAGCAGAAATTGCGAAAAATTAATATCAAAATGAAAAAAGAGCCGATTAAAAACATACAGGACTGGTGACAAGCATCAGAATATTGATAATTTCGAAAATTCTTTGTTGAGAGTAGAATAAATCAATATTAATAGGCCTGATGATATCAAAAACCAGTTCAAAAAGTGGAACTGTGCGAGGATTGGAAAGAGAGATTATCGCGATAAAATCAAATGATCATTGGGCAGGTCTTTTTTTTATGCACAGTCACGGCAAAAAGCGCAAAATTAGGCATAGAAGTGAGCACAAAAACATAGAAGATATTCCGGATACATCGCAAAATAAAGATAATTTATTTTCTGCAGTTATCGAAATACTTCCACTGTTGACACTGATACCAGACGACATATGAACTCTGAATTTGAGATTAATCTTTGCAGAATATCAAAGCGCGTCATTGTAGGGATTGGCTTGGATCAAAATTTTGAAGATAAGATGTATTTTATAATTACGAAACATGATGCAACGAAATTGTTTGGCCAGATCTCACTAAAATTGAAAATGGTTTAGACATATTTGAAATGCTTCTGATTTTGACAACTTCTAAATCCATCTTTTTAAAATTTATATGTATTATTTTCATCTGACAAAGATTTTTTCCATTATATCATTATTTTGCAAAATCTTGTTTTGTGCAAAATTTTATTTTGCACAAAAAAAAAAATTCAGATGTTTTACTCAACTTATCGCATTTACCAACGGATTATCTAAAATGACACTTGTACAGCATTGATTGAATTAGTTTAAAATTGAATTAGTTTTTTTCTATTTAATTTCTCTCTGACTAAAGATCCGGTAAGTAATCATGCTATTTAACATCTTCTGATTCAATATTTTTATACTATATCGACTTAATTGTTATTCATGCTTATTTTCAATTTAGGCAACTAATAAATGCCAATGTTTACTTAGTGAGGTATCTCGTTTGATTACTTGTTAATCATATCTCTTACTGTAATGGTGGAGGACTTGCGTGCATATCAAAATCTGACTGTCTAAAAACGTTTAACTATGAGAACTATCATTTAAAAAAGTGAAATTATATAAAATGAATAACAGAAAGAGAAATTCTGTGCACAAAAGAAAAAAACAAACAAAAAGACATGAAATCATTGTGAAAAACAAAAAGAGAGAAATTACAGTTGTGTAGTTTTAACATCATTAATTGCTCATTGTAAAAATTTGTCGCTCATGCCAAAAAGGATTTTGTATGTCGTCTGTTTGATAACCTAATATTAATTATCACATCTGTGAACATTGTTTGATACCAACTCATGGATATACCCTCCAACGATGGCATTTTCCTTTTCGTTACAAACTTGTTTATTTCTTTCATGTTACTACTATTAATGAATATCGATGTCTTTAGCTAAAAATTTTAATTTGTTACTAAACTTAATCTTTAAGCTTATTTCTACCAGACTATTGACTATTGTTAGTCTAGTTAGCAGTAGATGTCATAACAGTATGACTGCATGGAAAGTTTGACGATTTGGTACGCAAAGATGCTAAGGCAATGCTGAGAGATAAGTTTCAGTAAAAACTACCTTCCATTAATTTTTCTGGCATATTTACATGCGGATAAGGGATCAAATAGATAATATTTCACTTCGCTTTCTTGTGCAACTTATCAACCACTATGACTCATCAATATTATTCAAACAACTTTCTTTTTGTAAGGACAGAATTCGAAATGTATTAAAAAGTGTTATTATTTCAAAACTCTCAAATTTTATCACAGGACAAGTTTAATGAAATTATTTCTCACGAAATATCGAATATAATTATCAAAAATTTTGTTGTTCCTAGTGGATACCGTAAATACCGTGCTATTCTAAGAAGACTATGTTTCTATTTGTTATTGCATATCAGTTCAGCGCGAAAGTAATTTATATTTCGATTTGGCTTTGCTCGCTGTTTTTCTCAAGACCATTCATTCCATCCATAAATGGTTTATAGCCGGAAAGGCCGAAAGATAATTTGATAAAGCTATGGTAGTACATCATTCTAGTTTTGTCACTTATTAAAGAACAATGTAGTTTTTCCATAAATTAGTGGGTCATTAAATCATTTTCTCATTAATATTACTTGGCAGTTAATTCTTCTTTATATTCCACTTGGTTTGAACAGCAGAGGATAACTTTTCTTAGAATAGCTTATCCTACTTGGACAATGCAAGAGAAGAAAGTTTTGATGAAACGATTTTTATGAGAGGAACTAATCGCATAAAATTAATGGGAAATTTTGGATAAAAACAACAGCAGGATGAACCCTTTGCCTTATCAAATACCTTTCAGATTACACGGTTATACTTTCAGGAATAATTTCTATGTTATTTGTTATTGGAAATAATCCCTCAAAATTTCCCTTTTATTGGTCGAAAAATGTACTTCTACTCAACACCTTCATCCATTCATTTCTTCTGTATATTGATGTGGACAAATGAAGGAATTTTTCTTTGATGAAATCGAATGTGATAAATCAAAAAGTTTTTTGTTCTTTTTACTGTTTGTAGCAAAATATGTTGCTACATAGTACCTCATAAAATTAGTTTCAACAATTTCATGGTAATGCTTGAAGTAAGAATTGATTTATTTATCTTGGAACATGAGTGTCACTAGCTTTCCTATTGGATCCCATTGATTTAGCTGCAATGTAAACATTACTGCAAAAGCCATTTCTTTCCTAGAGTTCTTAAAAACGAAGAAAGTATTATATGCTCAGTCTTAAGAATAAAGCTCAGTTTAGCAACTCTGAACTCTCTTCTAAATCTTTCCACCATTCGTTTCACTTCAGCTTGACTTATAGGTCATATTCAAAAATGTTAATACAATTATTTAATTTTTACAAGTCACACAGAATTAGGGGACTGAATTAATAATACACGGAGAAATGTGTCTTCCGAAATCTACTCCGATATTATTTTAATGTTACACGTGAAGATTTATTTGTATGGAACAAATTTATTTCTGTAATCAAAATGTTTCGGCGTAAAATTGTCATCCAATTCCAGTTAGTAGCAGTGCAATCTTTCAGTTCTGCCTTTTCTCTCAACGATTCGCGTTTTACAACTTATCTTTCTTTGGCGTTCTACAACTTATCTTTGGCTTTTTTCATTAGAGATGAATTGGTTGCTGCGATTTGGATTGATATAATCATATGTTAATCAATGATCATACTCGAATATTGCTCCAACTGTTGTCATTGCTGTTTCCCATTTGTAGCAATCGTTGCAACTTTTATACTGCTGGAATACCACAGCGCGCCAACGAGCCTTGGTCAGTGATTTTATGCAAATTTGCTGATACGGCGAGATATGAGCCACAAACACGGGAATGGTACCAGAAATGGATGATTGGTTCTAGCTCAGGTTTTTATTTTTTAGCTTATTATTAGTGTAAAATTTAAGTCACTGATATCTGATTTCGAAAATTTTAAGATCTAATAACTGAGGCTAAATGGGTCTGAGAATTTTTCTTCACAGTATCTCACTCCCGTAAAAACATATTTCGGATAGCTACTTCTCAGAGTAACCTGTCAAGTGATCTCTCTATCCACTCAAGTCTTAATATTTTATCTTAGTACAATTGATCCATCTATCCCAAAAGTTCCACTATTTTATCTTATCCTTTGAAATTAGCATTAAATAGCTAAGATTTGAAGAATAGGAACATCTTGTCCAATAAAAATGCCGGATATGGAAGGGTTTCTCCTCAACTATTTCAAAAATCCCATGAATCTTCTACGCAACACTTTTCCGATGTGTACGTCCTGCCATTCCGGATACGGCCATGCATGATTTTAGACAAAAGACTACACTGATGACCGCCACTCTCTTGGATAAGTTAGCTAGTTGAACTGTTTACTTGATAGCCAAGCTTGACAATATTTTCTCAGCTCATTTGAAATTTCTTGAATATGACCATAAACTTTTGGCAAAAGATCGAAGAGAACTTCTAAACGTTTCAAATTTAATTTTCCAATTGAGTTTCTAAACATTTGTAAATTAAAACCTTCGTTGCTTGATATAACATTTTTCCTCTTTTCAGATTCGGTTGCACAGTATTTCATAAATGTATCGAATGGAATTTATACCATAACGGATACAAAAGTATTCGGCTGGATGACACTTCCGTGGACTGTAAAACAAGTGCGACTAATGACTTTAATGGATAAAACTCTTTGGAATAAGGAAAAGTCCAGCTCACCTGTACGTTCCAGTTCTGCAAGTTGGCTGAACAATATACGAGAAAGAGTTTAAACGATTGCCTGAGTAGTTTCAAGTTTCATTTTCAGTTTTTTGTTAAAGCCAAGCAACTATGCGTTAAATTGGCCACACGAAGAACTAAACTAAACAAGAAAAAAATAACAATACTGAACATGGAACATGGAGCAATGTATGGCAATGAAGATGGTGTTCTAATCACACCACGATTATCCTTCAATTCGGTCCTTACTCATGAAATGGTGCATAGTTTTCATATCGGGCACTCATACAGCGATCGCAAAATTGTTGTTAGTTTCTTTCTTTAATTAATCAGTTGTTTAGAGCATTGTGATAGCCTCTGTTGGCTTATATAATATCGAAGAATTTATGATGAAATTTAAAATGTATTCCATTGTTAACAATTACTAACTACATTGGTCATTTAAATCCAGTCATCAATCATTCAAGCAATCAATAAATCTGTTCTGTCTACCTTCTGTTCATCTTTGTGATAATATCATAACTCTTTAACCGAAAGCACGAAAAAAAGACTTTTCACAAACCACATGTTGACAAAAAAATTGTAAAATTGCTATTCTTGAATTCAAAATGATGCATCAGTTGCTCAGATTTTTCCGTTCGCACACATGGGTGAATATGATGATCACTATGATTTGATGAGTACAGCAAATGCTTGGATGTACATGTCGCGATATGGCCTTAGTGGACCAGGCTTAAATGGACCACACCTTGACTATCTCGGTTGGCTGCCCAGTAATCGGATTCTTTATTTCGGAAGGTTTTCGTTTCTTTTCAAATATTTTAAGGAAGTAATATAGATGTATGCTTAATGTGTCAATATCTGATCATCGATTACCTATCAGAATTGTCTGCTGAATGAAATACTTTAATGAAAGCGCGTTAACAGATAATGCTGTAGAGATGGCAGAAGCAGCTCAACTATACGACTGTCCTCATTAAGTGTCCCTCATGCACGGTCGAACGATTGGCTTCTGGTAATGGTGCCATTTGATAAAAACGATCCTGCTAATGTCTTCACCTTGGAATTTCGAACACCAGTCAATTATGATTCTGGTATCAGACAGGTTCAAGTTAAAATATGAAATATTAGGAAAGTCTTTTTTTTTTTGCAATTACCAGCAACATCCTGTAATTGACTTATTGGCTTTTGCAGGAAGCGGTTGTAATACACAAAATTAATCGAAAAGGAACAAATTACTATTCAACCATAGTTACACATAGCAAAGATTATGATGAGATGATGGCTGGCACCGAATGGGTACATTTTCTTGAACAATACAGTCCTAAAACTTATCCAGTCATTAAAATACGTGTTGAGAGGATTGATAGACAACGACAAATAGCCGTTCTACAAATCAACTCGACATTCAATCCAGTAAAAAATTGTTTTTCGAACGAAGTATTTTTATTGGTAATATTTGGAAGAATGTACAGGGATACTTTTTTCGTTGATTAGTAATTACTATCATGAAAAAAATTGAAAAAAGATTATTTTTCATGTCCAAATCGACGATAATTATACCATTTCAAAAGTATTTCAGATATTGCATAGAAGTACGGAAATACAAAAGCATTTAATAAGCAGCATAGGTGAAATGAGTTACAGTCATACTCCGAACGAAACATATACTGAAGAAGAATCTGCTAAGATTTTACGACATGAACAAAATGGGTATGCGTTAAACGATTTTTAACGGTCTGATCTCATTTCATTATTAATTTACAAAGAATAGTGTAGTAAAGAATGCGGGATGGATTGAAGAATTGACATGAAAACTAGTTTTTTCAGATTTTTCAAAAATTTGGTGACTTTTGGCATGAATGCTTGTCTTGATGGATACGTCTGGAGAATGATTGATCCTTATGACTATGTTTGTGTTACAAAAAATAGGTTATTTTATTCCATCTATTTCAAAACCATTGTCATATCGACACATTTTTAACTTTATGGATTACGCGAAGTAGAAACCGAAATGGAGAAAAATTCCATGCAACAGTAATTCCATAGTTCGTTCTTAATTAAATTTAATGTTGCTTGCAGCTAATGAGGACTCCAGTCAACTCTTTCCTCTATAAGTTTGCAGGCAACAACAAATTCAAAAACAGAGAAAAATCAGAAATCGTCGTGGTATCTGTCGTGAACCATTAATGTTACGAAAAGCTTTCCCCAATGATATTGCATGTGTAACACAAGAAGAATTCATGATTACGCAGAAGGAAAATGCAGAATCGCATAAAAATATGAAGTACCATTCATTTTTCAATGGAGAAGAACCGCTGTACCTTAATCCGGATGGTTGCTGTTGAGCGCTTTGGAAATTATAATTGCTATATTTACTTTGGTAAAGTAATTAGTGATTTGATTAGCACAATTTGTCCATTATTTCATTTATAGCAATTCGCGTTTTCTTATATTGCTCTTGATACTTACAGCGAAAGTGTCAAATATTTAAATTGAAATGAAATTATCGGTGGAAAAGTATCTTTAACACGAAAATCATCTTTGTTCCTCAGTTTCAAAAAATATTTGGTTCGATTATGTGTTGTTTACAAATTGACTTTGTTTAATCTGTCTATCAGACGGACGGATTACAAACTGATAGCAAAAGCCAAGTCTCATGTGAAATTAAATTTCATTAAATGTGAAATCACGATACCCACAGTACGGGAATCCAATAATTGCAGTATTTGAATAATCTCATTTCCTTTTCTAATTTCATCAGTGAATGTTGCTAAGCATTTCCGGGGTTTGAAATGACGTAAAAGTCAGCGGAAAAACACATTCAGTCAATCAGTTTGATGAGAACATATCCCGTATATTCTCCAAATTTCTTCGAACACTTTCATTTCGGTTATGAGATTTTCATTTTGATCTCTCGGCAAATTTCCCATTATAAGTACTTTTGCCTAGATTAATTCAGTTATACTTCGTCCATTCATTTATTTTTTTCAATTTTTTCGGGAATTTTCCTAGTATTCATTTTTGTTCGATTCTAAAATGAGCCATATCATTTCGCAAACAGTTTGCTCCATTACAGCGTCCTTAGCAGCAGTTCAGAGAAATTTGTTGTCAAAAAAAAAAAAAAAAATTAACAAACAATGAAGCATTCCATGAATTGGTCTTTATGAAATTGTTGAAGATGAATGAATATACGAGATTCATTTTACTCTTTGTGACAAAATGACTCACCTTTTCAGAAATAAGTGGTTCGTTATGTGGCATTCATTTGGACCTTATTATATGAGGAAAGGTCACGACATTTACGGTATATGAAGTAATAATTGTTATTCTTTATCTTTTAATCTGTTCTATCTTTTGCAAATCAAACTGTCTGAAGTTTAGCCCACTCATCACTTCTGCATTGTTCCGCTTCTGTACTTCATTTTTCCTATTTCAAAGCACTTCCCAAATCTTTACACTTTGCTTGCAATTACATAAGCGCCACAATTGATTCCATCTGTCACTTTATTTAGGCTTTTTTGCAGATTTGTACTGAATTTCTATATTCCTTTCAAATCCAGTTATCTTTCATGCTGTGATGAGATGTACAAATATTGACTTGCCACTCTTTATGGCATATATCAGACCTGACTTGAATTTGCCATCTCATCATCCTTTAAACCTTAAGAGAATGTCAGTTTCGTACAAGAATTAAGATGTGTGTTTTAAATGAACAGAATTTTTAATGTAAAATGGCAAAAAATCTGCTTGGTGCCAAATTTATCCTTTCTCATTTAACGCCGTCTTGAGAAATTCTTGACTATCACATGAATTTTATAGAAGATTTCAAAGATTTAAACTTCTGAAATGCTTTTGCCATTCTTCCAGCTTTCATTTTCTTTTCATCTATTATAATAAATTTAAATTTCTTCTTAAGTTAATGTATTATATAATAATGTCATGTCCTTAATTACGGAAATGTTTCATACTCTTACAGAGCACTAAAAATTTAGCAGAAAAAAGGAGGCTGTTTTTTGTTGAGAATTGTGATTAAGCAAATGTCACCGTAAGCGACCGAGAATAGTGATTTATAAATTATTCAAGATTTTCAAAAATTGAACAGGCAACAACTTTCATTAAATCATTAATTTAAGAAGTAACTTTCATTGAACACCATTTTCTTGTGGGAAAAAAATCAGCTTTCGTGAAGTAAATATTTGCGAGCATAACTTTTCAGAACCGCCTAGCTGTTCCAATTTGTATTCAACTTTTCATGCTTCAACTGGGAAATTCTAATCAGTGACTTTTTATGGGCGAATTTCCCTGTTCAATTGACCGATATTATTTGTCGTGCACTCTTGAACTATAAAGGATATAATATTTAGACGGAAGTAGTCGAAAGTTAGCAATTTATTGTTATGCAGAATGTGTTATCAGTTGATTAACAAAGGATTCATGCAACAAATATTTTCCCAAAAGTTCTTCCTTAGATGATGACATGTGGACCTTGTCAAAGGCTTTCCCGCTTTTGTGATGTTCTTTGATTTTTGCACCTTAAAACGAATTGATTATATTGTTGTAAAATTGCATAGGCTATCATTTGAAATAAAATTTCCGATTTTCTTGATCACTCATAGAATTTGATCTGCAAAACTTCTTCCTTAAAAAATACTGTAGGAAAGGAAAATGAGCTGTTACTTGCACTGGCATCCAAGTGACTAAAGCAACAATCAAACTTAGAGCTAATTAATTAGATTATGAATCTAAATATATATTAGTATGATAAGTTAAAAAATTGCAGGAACATCTGAAGGCTCGTAGAAATATTATGCTATGCAGAAGCGAGGGGAATATTAAATCTGCCTAACAAAAAGAAATTTTGAGGTTTAAATTGCAGAGAATATCCAGCCCGAATTATATTAGAAGTTTAGCTTTCCTCAAACTCTAGCAATTTTACCTCGAAACATTAATTGAAAACTGAAATTCGTTTTAAAAAATAATGAATCGAAATGAAGGTAGATCGGTGAAATCTCTTTTCCTCATTTTTCTCATAGGAAATAGCCAACAGATCCTAATGCCACATTAAACAGTGAGACGACGAATGATTCTTTGATCATCTCTCCACCATCTTCCGCGGAGTTATGACCTTCACAGTACCATTGATGTGGGGACGTTGTTGAACGTACTGCTCCGAATATTTCAACAACTCTTTTTTGTGTCAAAAACTTTTCTACAAAATTGTGAAATCATAGATTTTTTAAGATTCTTAATAGTTATTAAATTAAATTGTGAGTGCAAGCAGTTTTCCAATCACGATTATTCAAATTTGCAAATATTGCAATTCAGTGCAACATGCAACAGTGCAAAATAAACTATTCATTTTAATTTTAAAAGAGCTCCTTCACGTAACATATTTAAATAATTTGAAATTATCAGTAAATTATTTGTTATTGATTAGATGTGTTTTTGAATTCAAAAAGTAGAGATCTTCAGAATGGGCTTCTAAAGAGAAAAAGAATTGATTCCCAAAGATTGAATAGAATTTAAATTGGTATTTCATTAAAATTCATTGTGCAGAAATCTATTTCCTTAAATTCTAACTTCTTTTTCGGGATTTTTTGGATTTTTTTAAGCCCAACCTGTCTCGAAAAAGCTCAATGACAAATTTTTACAATTTATGACCAGATTTGAAAAAGTGTTCTTTTGCCTTGTAAACGGCTCATCTTTGTTACTGTCGTTAAAAATTTTTAAATAAAGCCGTATGCACTGAAAGACCGCAACAGAGTGGGAATCTTCCCAAATGAGGCAAAATTTTTGTCACAAACGAAAGTCGCATAAAATAACGATCGATTTTTGTGGCGCGTCTTTCTTCCTCTCCTTCACAACCTCCTGTCCTGCTTTTTTTTTTTAAATCGCATTATGTATGAGGCAATGTGATTAGATGAAAACGGCAATCCTTCCGAATAAATTATATGATACAAAATTGGTAATCATGGAATGAATGTACCTGAGAGAGACAGGTGCTCAGTTGGGAGGGTACATTTGAGGAGATCTATTATTCCTGAAACTTGATGATTGGAATAGAATGGGACATCGCAGGTTAAGGATATTTTTTTTCATCAAATTTTCTTCTTGTCAAAATAAAAAAGTAATTATTGAAGTCCGAAACTGATAATTTAGAATTTTCCTAATCCAAACAGTATGTGAAGTTTTCGCTCTCTCTGAATTATTTGATTATTAGCAAAACTCTATATTTTTTTTTGGTTGAAGAATTTCCGGTCTTTTAATCTTTCTAAATCTTCGAAAATATTATCTGGGTACAAAATTTTAGAAATGAAATTCGAATCGGATTTCGTTTTTTTAGCAAGAATATTCAGACATTAACTGAGTTCTTGTTAACTACTCTTTGCTTATGATCCATTTCAGAATGATAGGTTAGGAAACCGTCTATCCATACTAATTTGAAATTTTACTAGAAGTTAAAATGGAAACAGCTCCTGGAAACGGTTTATTAGCAAATGATATCTAAAAATTGCTGCCTTCCAGAAATTCACAGACTTTTCAGTAATTTTAGACGTCACTGTTTGAAACCTTACTTATAATTTGAAATCTTACTAGTATACTTTATAATTGAAGCCGCCCATAACTGGTTGGGTGACATGAGATTTTTGAAACTGTGATTTAATGCAATTGAAAAGTGTGAAAGTCAAGTGGCACTTCGTTCCTGCACCGTTGATCTCAACAATTTATCGAGGAGAGAGCATTTTAGATGCTTTCTGTACTTTTTGCATTCATAATTTTCTCTCTTAAAACTTGTATCTTTTCAAGCATGAACTTTATCGCAGTTTTCCAAAATATGTGGCAAAATTGATGGCATCAAAACGATTAAAATTCCATTAAATTCCATCAGTTTTCTAAAAAATTTTTTTCTGCTATGATTGCTTCCAGTTTTATTTTCAAAATGTTGAGTAAAGCTGCACTACATTATGAATACTCAGTATGAATATTTTGCAAAGATTGATTTTCAGAATTTGAATCATCGATCATCGATTTTTCAAATTTAATTATCTTCAAATTTAATGATTGATGTTTCTTAACACGGCAATATGAGAGGGAACTGGATGGCAACAGCAATCACTCGTCACCGGAATGGTTGCTGCTCCTGTTTCCTCTTTGTTTTCCGATCGACCAAACCAACTATTGCGCCATGTGTCACACAGATCCTGACCAAACCTATCATCGTCATCTCGAAGTTCGCCCTACTGAAATATTTCTTTTCAATTCTAAAAATTTCTACTTTTGAATATACCACAAGTAGTGTTGTGCTTCCTATCTTGACATGGACCTGCCATGGGTTCAAGGGTGAAGTACCATAAGGCCTTCTTGATTCATCACTTTCCAAGAATATTCTAAAAGTTCATTTCCATTTACAAGATTGTTATAGTGTTTCCTCTGTTTGGCTTATGTTTACCACATTCTTTTAATTTTATTTCAGCTTAGTTCCGATCTTAATAACGCATTTTTCATGTCTTGCTGAAAATTTTCGCGGTAATGTGATTGAAGGATGACAAGGAAATTGCTTTTTTTTAAAAATGAAAATTAGATAAGTCTGGAAGAAAAACCGCATGCTGAAAAGTAATATTTGGCCAATTACCTCCCAAAGAAACTTTTTCTAATTCCTTTTGAGAGAAATAAACGATGTAAATTTCTTTTTTCCCTTATAACAAGTACCAATAGCAACTCTACCACTTTTCATGTTCTATCCTGTCCTGAAGGCTATCAAGCTTGTCCGATCAATCGCATCAAGTGATATTAACAGCATGTATTGTTGCTGGAACATCTCTCTGACATACTTAGCTTCATATCGCTGTTACTGAGACGTACCCTTTTCGTTCGCTAAAACTTTATCTGCCTCACAATCTGAATGGACTTTACGTTTGATCATTGGATTTCACTGGCAACAAAAATTGAAATCGATTCGTTCGCTCTGTATTACGGCAGTTTGGTCAGTAGAATGGTTCTATTGTTATGGATGGGGTCGTTCGCATTTCTAGCGTTGTCAGCGTAGTAGGTTATCGGATGTGTTGTCAAGGTGCGGACTTCACTGTCGCCCTTTTCTAACCTGGAAATAGCCGTACCAAGGACAGAGCGTTATTGATTGGTATTATCACGGTTGCCGTTTGAGGAGAGGAATGGCATTAACTTTGTTTTGCTTGCTATGGGAAGTCGTCGGGACCTCTGTTAATGACAGCAGTAAACGACAATTTGTTGTTGGCGTTGTTTGTATCTTCCCTACTCTGCACGGTAACCCTTTGCGTTATGTCCTCGAAATTCTTGAAGAGATCTGAAAAATATGCTCATCGATGCGTATTGTATACTCTAAAGGCAGATATTACCTGTGAGTGGTGATAACTATACATTTATAAAGAGTTACTACTATTTGCCTGATATAATTTACCACTAATTGACTATTCTGAATAGTTCCTTCATTAAAATCAAATTCGCGTTTTAATGCAATTTAAATTACGGCCGTTGTTTGCAGTATTTTGTTTTTTTCAAAAACTTTACTTTCTCGCGATAGTCGTCCCTCTTTAAAACGTTTGTCAACTATATATTCACGAGTTATTAAGAAATCCTTTGTGACAACTTTAGTGTTAATTTCGAATTTAAATCCAAACTCGAAGTGAACTGAACTTTATTTATGTGATATTTCTCTGTAGAGTTATCCGTATCTCATCCAATACGTTTTTCACGTTTACTTATTGCAGTAACTCAATACTGTACTTTATAAATCATCATAATCAACATATCCTTAGAGTGCATTAGAATATTATTACTTAGCGGACTCTAAACTTTATTGGTAGGAACTTGATTTCTCGATCCCTTCGAAACAGTAGATAGTTTTCTTTTCATTGGAGCTTAGACTACAATGTTTCTTGCAAGCATCTGTATTTAATTTTCATTGAAATTTTAATTAAGGACTTTGCAGTCATTTTTTTTTTCAAATCCTTATCCTCTTCTAAAAATAGAATTCATACAGACAAGCTATTATGAGGTTGACAAAAATATAATTAACTTTTTTGTTTCTTTATTTTTCCAGCTTCAACATTTCCGAGCCATATGATATTAGTATTTCGGGCATTTTAACTTTTTCAGATTTTTAGTGTTTGAAATCGATTCCCAAAAAAAGCTGCAGTATTCAACAGTTTTACTGCAAATAAATCGTAAATTGAGAATAAAATTTGATGACCTTTACTGATTATCTATTGGAGTGCTCATTTCCAACCATCACGATCATATCGGTGACACTGTCATCATTCTCGCATTCAATTGACGCTCTTCTTCATTTCTTATATACCAGGTATGGATGACGCTATTGTACAAGCTCTTGAAATTTAATCGTTTGATGACTGGTCATTATCATTGCAGCATTGCTTATATGGCCAAAGCCTTCTCTGCATTATGTTCTTTTTTTGTAATTTCATTTTTCATTTCAAATTTTCCAGCAAAGTAAAGTCATCCAAGCATGTGTGGGGTTGAATGGATATTCCCTTTGGTTGCAAGAAGGGGCCTTCAACATAATTCCATTTTTAACCATTTCAATTATTTGGCGAAGTTTTTACGTTTTCGAAATTATTATAATTAATCTCTTCCATCACTTCTCATTTACGACAAAACTAAGGAAGTTTTCAGAAGTGTTTGAACTGAATGAATATGCTGCAGTAAGGTTAATATTTCAAAGAACTATTCACGGTCACTCCCTTAAATTTCACTAATCTATTTTGGAACAAGAGGTAAGAGGAAATATTTGTTGGAAATTATAAATTGTTACTGTAAAATTTGGGCGACGAAACAAGTTTCTTTTCTGGTACCTTCTCTTCTTGTTTTTTTTTTTACATTTCTTGAGAGATTTCACATTTTCAAAAAATTATTCGGTGATTGTAGAAAGAAAATCAAACGTACCTTTTTTTCACTTTATGTTTGATGTCTTACATTTAAAACAGCATATTTTCTTCCTTAACATTAAATTTTCTATCATTTGCAGTTAGCAAAAGCAAAAAGTTGATCTTGGATTACTAACTGATCTGTTCTTGTTGACTTTTCGTTCTTCCTGTTCCTCCATTTCCAAAAATTAATCCTCCTCCTCTTTTGTTTTGTTGAAGCAATGATCTAGTAGACAAGAATGTGTCTTGATCGCATTACATGCCGTTACCAGTTTCGAAATCCATTCACATTTTTGCTATTCTTTAAATATTAATTAGCTTACTGACAACTTTTTAAAGCACTGAATGTATTCCAACATCATTTACCGCCAGTTCAAGATTCAAGATAAATGTGGCGATTAAGAATTGTGCATTTTCGCATGCTTATATATCCTTTAACGTTAAATTTTTGGTGCTGCAAGCGTTTGATCCATTCAACGACGCGATTTCTAAATTCGTGAAAATAGGTTGCATAAATGAAATTGAAAGCGATATGATGGTATAAGTCATTTTTATTGCTCCTGTAGAATACAAGACGAAGGAGAGACAGTAATACATGGGGATGACAATCAACTTTGTACCTACTTCACTGATGCCGCAATCCAGCAGACAGCAGGTACAAATTTCTGAGTTCCAGAAAATTAAATTTCTGAGAATTCCAGAAAATTAAATATTTTATTAGAAAGAAGTGGTGCACAAAAAAAAAATGTATCACTTCAGGTTAATATTTGCTTGTTCAAATATTTATTGACAAGCTTGATTACATACATTAAACTCGTTCGATCTATTCGTTTCCTAAGCTTGCTGTAAATAATAATAATACATGGGAATATCTCTTTAGTAAGATCAGGACTGCTGACCTTAACTGATTTCAATTTCAATTTCTTGTCAATGAGATTTGAAACTGCAGTCAGGTGAATGGCGGCAATCATTGGCGGCTTTATTGTGCATGCTGTTGTGTTTCGTTGTATTGCTTTCTGTGTGTTGTATTGGAATATATCTGATCAAAGATAAACCTGTTTACGAGGAATTGGTTGATTACTTGGACAAATCGATTGCAATCAGTAAAATTAATTACAACCAACAACTTGGATTTTTTGAGCTTGAAGAAAATGAACTGCAAACACTGGAACAACATCGAATGGTTTATGCTTATTTCGATTCAAGAATACCTATTTCATGGGAAAGATTTCATAGATTAATTAAGCACTGTCGCTGCTATCAACAATTATATGAGACATAATTAAGAACTGATTAAACAGATGTGCTTATAAATTAAATAATTTTTATGGCTTGAAATTAGAAAAGTCTCAACTTCTGTTGATAGAAGTAACGTTCATGCAAGGTAAGCATCTTAATTTCAAAAAATTTGCTTCTATCACTTTTCTTTTTCCAGTACAAGACTTTGTTATGGTCATTTTTATTTGCCGATTTGGGATGCTACTTTTTCTTGACCATTTGTATCCTGATATACCTGACTACAGATACAAATAGAGGCAAAGCACATGTTGTTTTCTGGGTAAGTTACTTTGCATATAATACTTGATATTCGATATAGTATACTGGTGTATTGGTATTTCAAAAAAAAAGTCTCAATTAAGAAGTTAGCTGAAATAAAATCAAAAATTATCAAGTTTTCAGTTATTTTTTGTGTTAGCAATATTGTACTGTGTAACGGAGGTGCACGTATTAGCATTCATGATTTTCCCATACGCATCACTGCTGCCAAGTGTCACCGAAAATTTGCTGAATCATGCCATACCGTACAACCCTGGTGGACTGGTGCAAATGGAACAAAGGCTGGGATGTATTTTTGATTTAAATCTTTACGCCGCTCAAAAGAGGAAGCAGAATCCATCGGTAAGCATCCACATAATCTACCTGACAATTTTTCGTCACAAAATGAGTCGTTCGATTTTAAAAACACTTATTAGTATTACCTGACAATGGTAGCACCAGATTCGAGTAACGAGAAGGAATGATACAAAATTTTGTTAATGCAAACCAAATATCCTATTGCGTAACGACTCAGATGGAAGAGCTTAGGCCGGAAGTTGCTGCTAAGAATTTCTCAACTGAAGATAAGACGTTTGTAAATAAAATATTAATATTCAAATTCATTGTGAATAAAGGGTCAGCCTGGCATTTCAGAATACTTGTGATCCATACATTTCGTCAGCTTTCATAGGAAAAGGTACACTTTGGACACTTTTGGCTTTACGTTTGATCCCAGTGGTCATATTTGTAGTACTGATTAGCAGAAAGGTGACATTGAGTGAGACAGTGGCATCAGTAGCAGAACGACTCCGAGCATCAATAAGATCTGACGATATAAGAAGCAAGTTAGTTCTTCATTTTCTTTTCATCATTCCGTATACTATAACACGAATCCGTCTATATGTGACATCATTCATGTTGTCTGTCATGCAAATGAAATAAAAATTTGCATTTCAGGAAAGTAAATTATAAACAAGATTTTTCGAATGGTAAAACGACAGTAATTGGTGTCCCATCAACAACAAGCACTCGGTGAGTTCAGAATTCCTTTTTCTCTCTGACCTTCTGAATGAACCTGAGTTTGCATAAAAATTTCACGTTCAAACCGTTAGATGGTTTTAGGCCTAACGTTGCATTACCACAACCAGCCCTATTATTACCTGCCGATAGCGATCACAGCACAAGGTATTACTATAAAGCATATGCCGCATGATGCTAGCTTATCAGACCTGACGATGCATCGCCACAGGCGTTTCACGATCGCCCGTGCAAAACAATACCTTACATGTCTAGAAAGCCTCTTCTCGTAGCTCAGTTTCATTTAAATTGTAATTAATCATCTTTGCATGCGTGTCATTAATATGCATTCTATTGGCATGCTTTAGAGATGTACGCTTTACACTTATATTTCTGCTTTTGTCATCTCATTTGATGAGGCTTGTTATTTTATATTGTGTGTGCAAGCTTATTTCTTGCGTAATCTCACACGACTTTATGAATAACACTTTTTATCATAGCTATAATAATAACATGTCAATGAAAAATGATACTTTTTGACAAACATGACAAAATGGAAAATGACACAAATGACATTTTTTATTACAGCTATAACAATGCCGCATTCTTTGCAACGTCGGGCGCACCTGGCCTAAGTGGCTTAAGTAGCTCAAGAAGTAGCGAAATATCAAGGAGTGATGCTATCGATTTGTACAGGTTAAATGTTGGACTTGAGCTTAAGAATCTCTGTAAGATCATTTCTAATTGTTTCTTCAATAATCAAATATAATTTCAGGCCACCGGTGCAAACAAGTAGTAGTATAATGTCAGAAGTTTAACTCTAAGCATCGAGAATCCCCAAAATGAAATTGTTAATGTCAAGGGACACATGAGATAACAACACATTTGTGTACTTTCCCTTGGCAAATATATCACAGTACCAATTCTACAAAAATCATTACTTGATGCCAACAGTAAAATGTACTGCTTGGATAGCAGTTTAGAAGACATCATCTTGAAGTTATTGGCTGCCGTCGATTAACTCTTCTCACATATTTCATCTATTCAATCAAGTATTTAAATTCATAAATCCGCCAATATTTACGCAATTTTTGTGCTCGCTTTGAAAGGTATAAGAATTTGAAGGCAAGCTTTCGGAAAGTTTCTGTTTACAAAGTTTAAAAGTCTGTAAGTCTTTCATGTATTAATTACCCATTAGACAATTTGTCAAGAAATGTGGCCTCCTCTTTGTTTCATTTATACCTTCGTGAACTGTTTTTACTTCGTGAGAATAATTTCGATCCAAATGCGTTAGAAGCTGTTGGTGTTGATTCAAATGAAGGTCATGGTTGTCAAGGCATTTTTAAACCTTTGTTTTATTGATGTTGAATATTTTGAAACGCCATCTCGACACCATCATCACTTTTTCATTTTTTCATTAAATGCCTTCAAAATATCCCATATTTTACCCCATTCGTGCTTTTTCTTATGAAATATCAATTTTTCTGAAATCACTGCTTACAAAAGCTTGAAAATAACTAATTTTTAACACTGAAAGAACGTGAACACATTTCCTTCGCATCCCAAATCGCAAACACTGATTAGTTTCATGCCCTAAACTCTTTGTTCTGTAACCGTTCCGTAGCATTAATCATTCTTTGCGGGACCAAATTCAGGAATTGAATGTCAATCCGCCATAAAGGAACGTGCTTTCCACGAGTAGCCTAACTGTAAGTCTACTTTCTTAGTTCTGAAAAGGATTTTGGATTTCCTTAATCTGTTCAATTCCTAATGATTCAGACTGTTCTAACCTATTATCATGCTCATGCCGTTTCTGTTTCACGCGATACTGGTTCATCGAGATACTCATCTTTCGATTCAGGTGAATATTCTGAATGCGAAACTGATGAGCGTTAGATCGCACCATTCATATTTACTCTTTCATTTTCTGACATTATATACAAGAAAAAGAGCGATAACAACCATTTAAACACAACATTATACACAGGAAGTTTTCAATTTTGATAAAAGTTCCAGGAATTATTTCGTAAATTCAGTGTTGATTTAATGATTTTCATTCAAACATTCTCAAAATTACCACTAGAAGAAATAAGGATGTGGATGTGGTAACAACTGGTCGGTAAATGCCTCGACAATAAGAGGAGAAATATGGTGTAACCGAAATATTTTGCTGATAGACCAAAAATCAAAGTTTCTGATAAAAAGTAGTCCTTCGAACAAACTGTAAATACTGCACCTAATTTACACGTATGGTGAAGATATAGCACAGGAACTGAATATGTACAGAAATCATTACAAGATAATTATCAAAGAAAGAGAAAACTCTTCTAGGGAAAGAAGCTAAAATATTCACAGAATAGTCATACCACCATTTGCAGTAGTTTTTTCAGCGAAATTTTTTTGGAACAACCAAAGACCTGAGGGCGGGATCGAAATTTTCATCTTGAATCATGTTTTTATCGTTCGAGACTGCCTGCAGTTTAATAAAAAACGGTCAAAATTTTAAACAAAAATTTTGAAATGTACAAAAAAATTTGAATGCATGGAAAAATTACCGCGCTCAGCTTCTCCAAAATCTTTTTTCCCGACGAATACCTTATAAGTTTGTGCTGACTTTTAATAATTCGTTCCGCTAGTCGCTTAAACCAGGAATCATTACCCACACGTTTTTTCTCTTTCGCTTCAACAGCTATGTCGAGCATTGTCTGTATGACATAATTGCCAAATTGATCAAAAAGCAGAACATCCAGAGCATCATGTCCTTTTCTGGAAAATCTGGAAGTAGTTGAAAATGATCATTCCAAATTCTTTCAACGACACCTATGAATTTACAAAACTCTTCACAGTATTCGTAATGGTCAAAAAAGTACGTGTCACATTCATAGCCATCAAAAATTTCGTTCATCATTGCATGAAGAAGCTTGGGTGGAGCGTGCTTTAACGCTTTTTCAACAACGTGTGAAGCATACTTTTCCTGCGACATTGATAGTAAATTGCTCCTGAAAATAACTTATTAAATCGTCGAATTTAAATACACAGTAAGAGTAAAAACTACTAATCCTTAGCCATTCAGAAAGAATTCATGAAGAAATTCAATATGGCGAACAGAAAAAACAATAAGTCCTTGAAATCCGGTTTTGAAGTGCATAAAACCACTGCAACTCGGATATCAGTAACTTACAGAAGTTCGCGTATTATCGTATTGCGATGTTTTTCTAATGTGTTCGACGTTATAATATGCTGAATGACGTAATTCGCATACGGATGAGTTGAATAAGACCAGCAATCCTTTAAGAGCAAAGAAACAAGCTGCTCGAGAAGCAAAGTAGCGGGTTTGGAGTTTTTCGCAACTTCCTCTTCCAGCTTCTGCAAAATCGGCGTATAATATATAAGAAGTTTTGATATCACCCACAATGCTTTGTCTAATATTTCTGAATGATTTTCTTTTTGACATTAAATGTTCATTGCCTTGCGTCAGCCCATTAACTAATTTCACCAGCCATGATTAATTAATATATATCCATGATTTATATATACATATATATATATATATATATATATATATATATATATATATATATATATATATATATATATA